CTGATACATCTTCCCAAATATATTTTCTAAAGATGATGTCAAACATATTTCCGCATGCGGATAGAAAGGCCATAATAATTATAATGTTAACTTACCTTGCACTGCTAGCGCTTTCACTCGCTTCTAGCTTTTCGTACTCAGCCTTGCCTCCTTTGTTCGTATTTCGGCAAACAATTATCTGTATTGTTCGATGCATTATAGCGTGAAATGTGTCAAATATGCTCATATTTTTAGTGTTTGGATTGGGACCTATAAAACGACTTTCACGGAAGATGTTTTGTTGCCGAAAGCGCTGAAATCCATGCGGGCTTGTTTTCCATTTGGTCCCGTCTTTACCAAGATAATAGCTTTCTTCATCAATGGTTGGCATATCTACTGCTTCCATTTTATCATCAGACCCCAAATCATTTTCCGAGTCACCTCCGTGACCCAGTTCCACTGGATGTGCCATCATTTCTGTATCAGAAGCATTGTCATTTAATTCGTTAACTTCTAATTGCATATCATTTTCATCAGGTACAACACTCAGAGCATTGTCCGTTATCATTTCCTCATCCTCGGACTCCATTTCATTAACCAGGTTTTCAAAATACTTTGTTAGCATATCATATGGATGCCTGGGATAATTTAAACATACGTAGATACTAGCATTTAGTTCTATCATAAAATACTTACCGGGACACTGATGAAGCACTCAACACTTTAAATTTACTACTATTGTTAGTTGCCATTTTCACTAAACACCTGTTGCTCMATGCATACACAATTTCAAAATGACACGCTTCAAAAGTTTAAAAACCGAATTCAGTAGTACATATGTATTTGCAAAAAAACTATTACGATTATTCCAAACATAGAATGCAAAAAACACACAAAATTTACTCTAAAAGAGACACTTTTGTTTTGAATAAAATAGCATGCGTCCAGCAAGACAAATATTATTCTTAAAAGTTACTCTCTTTCTCTCTCTAATTATTAGATTTTTACGGAATATCAACTTCTCTCTAAAATAACATATAAAAATGTACAAATGTAAATAGTGCCCGAAATCGTAGTAAAAAGTTGGTGCCCAAGTTAGGGTTAATGCAACATCACGGTAAAGGAGGAGTAGAGTCACTATCAGCCGACGTTATGTAAACAAAGGGACAGGTGAGAGGTGTCACTGTATAAACGTCAAGGGGAGCTCGGACTCCCCTATTAGTTTAGTTTCTATTAGAATTCAAGATAGCCGACTTTTAACCGGAAAATGGTTGCATTTAGTTATTTTCTTAAAATTTATGAAAAGTTGTCCCAAAAATATTGGTTATGTAGGAAAATATTTTTATTTTAATATATATTCTTAAAAATGAGAACAATATGATCAAATACATGAAAATTTAAGTTTTCTATTTATGCCTCTTTTTAACTGTGGTGGGTTAACAAATGTTCATCACAGAAAAATATTAAGAACAAATAAGCAACCATGCCGAATAGTGGGGTCCAGAATATGCTCCCTCACGGCCATATTTATATTTTTGCCATCATAACGTAGGTTTTTGCAAGACAATTTGTTTGAATTTATTTCATGGAACAATCTTTACTAGGTTTATTTAGTTATTTGAATCTGGAACAAGTGTTTACAAATTTCCATTGGGAATATAAATAACAGATCGACTGGGATTTTATTCCAATAAAAGTACGTAATAACTAAACATAGCTTATTGCTGCGTAATGGGTGAGGTGCTGTTCCAATTTTATGATTTAAGAGATGAAAAAGCGATACGCGATGTTGTGAAGTATTCAAATGTAGTTATCAACTTAGTTGGTCGTGAATTCGAGACAAAATTTTACATTCAATGATGTGCTCGTGGTAGGTGCACGTTGCATTGCTAGGTAAGCTAAAATCAAACTTTACTTCAAAAGATTTATCATTCATTTTTTCATTTTTTTTTATAGAATCAGCAAAGAAGCTGGAGCTATTATGAATGGTGTGGAAGTTGATATTTAAACTTTAAAAACCCAATAAATGTAATTTGGCTAATAATGAACCGCTTTTAAAAAGTAAGAAAATTGAGTTGTATTTTTATTTGGGCCAAACAAGTTATTATCGATTTGAATAATTTCAAACGGAATATATTTCGAACAATCATTTATTTTTTTAAATAGTATCCAGAATTGCTATTAAGCATGGCAAAATGCAAATTCAAAAAATTATTTCTTTAAGAATCCTTTTTATTTAAAAACTTAGCTTAGAACTAAGAAATAATGTGGTAAATCTGTTAGGATAATCAGTCCATTTGGGAACGAGTTGGATTCCTGATCGCCGGCGCATAGCTCAATTCTGACATATGAAACGTGTATGTAGTTTGAGAATACAAAATTTTATAGTTAAAATATAGGATACATGGCTATTATAATTATCGCTTGATTTATCTTACAATAAAAAATCTTGTTTTACTGTTCGGACGAATTATTATGATATGTAATACCAAATTTTTCCACAATAGTTATCCCTTTTGCTCCGCTCATTATCAAATATAATTTCCAATTTGTTCTTGAATAAGTTAACGCTTAAAAATATATAGCATACTTATCTATATCATGAAGGTGTAATTAATTTTTTTTTTATAACAGCTATTAGCTTTGTAACAAAAATTTAAAATAGTATTTATAAATGTACAAATATAGTAATAAACTTATAATTTAATATTATAGCATTTTCGCTTTCTGCAACCCGTTTTGACCTCTCGCCACCCTTAAGCGCCAAATACATGACACGAACATTTCCGCGAACATTCCCGTTATGTCATGTTTCTGCGAACTTTTCTGTCAAAATATTTTAGTTTTTGTCGAACATTTGCGCGAACTGGCAAACACCACCATACACGACAGAAAAGTTCGCAGAAACATGAAACATGGGTTTTCAAAATAATCCAGATTCATCTGCGTTATAAAGCTGCATGTCCGAAATTTCCATTTCATTAATTTTTGCCCGCAAATTATGAATGAATGGTGATATTCCTGACTTGTCGCTTGAGAGGATTTCCCCACAAATTTTTAAGTGGCGAATACCGAATCTTTCCTTGAAATTTGCAAGCCATCCATCACTTTCATGAAATTGTTGTTCTGTGTGCAATTTGGCAAATTTGAGCTTGGCTCTTGCCTTTAAAATTGGACCACTCATTGCACAATTACGTTGTCTTTGGCTTAAGAACCATTTATACAACCTTGCCTCAAGAACGGGATATTCCGATTTATGTAAAGTTTTCTTGGTTGCAACTTCATGTGTGTTTGCCACTGCCTCCAAAATTTCATGACGTTTTTTCTTTATTTTTGAGATGGCCRCCTTAGATACATTATAATCCAACGCCAATTGATTTCCATGAATACCTTCATCGAGTTTTCTTAAAATCTCAGCTTTTTGATGCAAATTTAATCTGATTTGCGATGATTTTCTCTCTTTTTTAACACACTAACCATAAACAACTCGCAAGTTTAAACGCTCATGGCMCATTACGCATGGATGTACCTCGCGACACCGACTATAATTTTTTACATAGAAATTCGGGAGTACATAGCAATGAGGGGAATACCCGAGCTTGTTTTTCTTGCTAAACAAACGGTTGGGTTTGAAAAAATAGAAAAGCTCAAAAAAGTTACCAAAACCCAAAGTTAACTTTTTAGAGCAGTACGTGGACGTCTACTGTGGTATTTTAAATTTTTGTTACAAAGTTTATAGCTGTTATCAAAAAAATTAATTATACCTTCATGATATAGATAAATATAATTAAAATATTTTGATTTTTGTCGTAGTAATTTCTGAACGGAACAGACG